AAATTCCTAATAATAAAGAAATTAAAATCCAGCCAAAAATTTGTGATAATACTTTTCTCTTTCTCTCTTTTCATTGCATTCCAAACTGTTATTTTTTAATTTATAATTATAAAAAATTTAACAAATAAATATAAAACATAAAAATATCACTCATAAGGAGCTAGCGTATTTAAAAAAAAAATTATTTCGTATGGAAAAGTTTATACAAAAACAAAAATTAATTGAAATACAGCATTCCAAATCATATTATCAGAAACACATTTTTGTTATTTTCTATTGGCCAATTTTACCTGGAATTTCTTCACTGATTGTCAAATGCGTGAATGAGAAATGTTTAGTATGACGTCAATTAGCCCCTCTGAAGTTCAAGGTTACGAGACTTGCATGCAACTTGTGAAGCATTCTTGTTACAATGATAGAATCTAAAGATGTGATGAAATTTTTTCGGTGAAAAAAATTCCCGAAATAACTTAATTACAAAACAGGTCTCTTTACTTGGAATTAAAAGATGATGTCACGATGTATAAGGAGCAATGCTTTCTTAAAAATTCATCGAGGAAAGATTTTTAATTACTGCTGAAATGTAAACGAAAGTAAATAATATAGTCCATATGTGTCACTCTTCGGTGACAATTTTGTCTAAAAATTAAATAGATAAACCTAGAATGCTATTTTTAATACTCATAGATTTAAAAAACCTTACCACCAAGGTGGTGTTGGAAACGAGTAAAATTTATATTTATAATAATATAATACATTTTGTCAGATTTGAAATTATTGGAGCGTAATTTGTATACAGAATGAACATTAAATCAAAACGTGTCACAAAAAAAAAAAAATGATTGTAATATCAGAAAATGTTTCTCTCAAAAATTATTGTTCTCTTCACAAGAACTTGCTCACCTTCAGTGGTTTTTGTTTCTTTTTTTACAGGATTATTTTTAAAAGAAACTTGCCTACAGCTCGTTATAAATTACTCGGAAAAAAGAAAGAAAAAAAGTTTGAGATTAGACAATATTTTTGTTGTATTAAACCGAACAATTTTAATTATACAAACTAATATACGAATAAAAAATTGTGTGATTTCTATGCAAACATACAAAACACGGAATTTTATTTATAAGGGTAAATCTTAGTGTAAAATATTGTGAGAAATAATTAATAATGCTAATCGAAATAACCATTTTGATATTTTTCTTTTCACGCGTTTTATAACACAATGTCCACGGTCTACTTTAAAATAAGAAATTCTGTCGAATATATATTGTATTGTATTGTATTTTAACAATTCAAGCCAACGGAATTTATCACTCAAATTTTCACAGATGAAACATGTTTCAGCTAAACGTAATTTCAGATGACGTTTATGAAACTTGAAACAAAATTCTAACATTTACAGAAATACAATTTTAACGAGCAATTATTTATTATGACATCGTCACAATGCTGGGCTACGATTTTTAATCATATTTTAAATTATATAAAATTTAAAATATATTCTCTCCTATATATTCTAAAATATATTCTCTCCTAATATATATTCTATTTTTAAAACCCAAACCGTTTGGGTTTTAAAAAAATCCCTTCATTCGTTTCCACTGGTAAAATGTATATGCGTTTACTCTACTTACACTTAGCTTAATTGAAGAAACAGTTTCGTGGATTTTTATATGCGGAAACGCAAGGTCGCACGTTTAATTAATGTAGGCTTCTCCGTTGAATTTACTAACCACGCAAATATTATACAGGAAGATACTTAGATATGGAATTATAAATATAATATATTCATTTAAATATTTTCAAAATGATTCTAATCTAATTTATACATATTCAATTTCCCGTTCAATTTGCTTTCCTTTAATCAGATTGTTTTTATGTACGGTAATGCACAACATTATTACCATACGCATCGTCAGTGGGGTCTATGGGTCTGTATATCCCCTTTTCTGCCGTGTAGAGTTATATCATAAGGTTGAACTCTGATTGATTTAATACTTGTTTAACGATAAAATACTATATTTTTAAGATTAAATTTTGTTTTTATTATATAAATTATTTATTAATAACGTGATGAATAGTGATCTACACCTAGATCAGAGGGTTCCCAATATATACGTATATAAAGATTTTTTACAATTTTATATAATTTGTAAAATATATTAAATTCTATTGTTAAAATGCGTTAATACGACAATTTCAAGCGTATTTGATGAAAATTAAATTTTTAACGAATTCTTAAAGATATGTGACTGCATCCCTGAGAGAGTTCATTAACATGTATTGTAATGACCTGCCTAGATAGCAACATGGTCCACTACACCCTGCATCCTGCGGTTACGATCTTTACTGCCAGGGATATGCAATTTTTCAGGCGTTACTGTACACTACCAACATAATGACTGACTCCATAATATGTACTGTACATACTCGAAATGTCCTAATGGTTCTCTATGCACAGCACGATAATCCCCTACCATAATACAGTATATACTATTTTCACTGCTCTAAATCAAAGATACAAGCACAACTTATGCACCAAGCTCATTTGGATACCGGCACACAAAGGCATCACTATTAACGAACAAGCAGACAAATAGATCTCCGCATCAATACCATTATCAGTTGCGCAAGAAACAAATCACTACTAACAGACTACTTTCTATACACCCGTAAAATCAACAAAATCGACCAATGTAGGCATTGTTCAGAAACACAGACTCTTTAATACATCGCCTTGATGAATGTTCCAAATTCGCCCACATCCGGGAAAAAATCCTATTTAATGAGATTAAAAAATAATAATCGTTTATTTTGTTTAGATTATCTAAAATTAAAACCGATTTATATCTTTTTGAACACCTTGACCACATATTTTGACGAATACAAGAAAATCTACAACTACTAGTAACGCCAAGGTGAATTTCCAGCACACATTAGTATCTAACGAGATAGCTAAGTTTAGCTGTCGCCCAACAACAAGAAAAAGAAGAAAAAAAATCTTCCCAATCTTAAGCGAGATAGTTCGATTGAAAAACTAGATCAGCAAAAACGCAGACGACGAGTTACTGTGCACATTGACCGAATCTGTTAAAACACGCGATACAATGTTTCCGAACATTTTTGTGTTGCTAAAATAATTCCCACAACATCATGTAAATGTGAAAGGTTAGCCAGCATGTTGAGAAGAATGAGTAATTACATGAGAGTGACTGAACGTCTCCTTACAGAACTGACCCTACTTTATTGTCATTAAAATTTTTATGTCGACATTGCATTCGAAGATGATGCAGTTAGATATGTTGTAGGCAATTAAAGGTTCTTTTGAAGATATTAAACGTTATTTTGTAATACAGTATGCTTAATTTGTTGTACAAAATACTTATTTCAGTAGATCCCATGGAAATTTTATGACGACACGCTTGGTTACGCATCTACTGTACAGTTCAACTCCAGTACAGTACATTACAACTTTTACGTTTACAGTGACACGACAGCAACGTATTTGTAGTCATAAACCGTTAGCACAAACATCCAGAACTCAGATTGCAGACTCACGTTGATCATAATTGCGGCGAATGTATAAATGTTTACAAGTTTATACATATTAAAATATTCTTTTACTAAACAACGAAAATTTCCTGTATTTAATTAATTTTATAACAATGAATAAGTAAATGAAAAGAGTACAATAATTCCGAATAAATTGTATTTATTCATATTACAGAATGATTCGCTTTTATAATTCATAATATATATTTAATTTTTTTAATAAGTTAAAAATTTAACTCTTAAACAAAATGGGTAAATATAAAGAGCAAATATTTATTGTGACATCGTCACAATGCCTGGCTGCAATTTTTTACAATGCTCTCTCTCACTTCAAATTAGTACTGTAGTGTTTTGCTCCTGTACATAATACTTTTCCGTTAGTAATGAAGTCATGCAGGTCATCTATCTAACATCTTTCGGGTGAAAATTTTGAATAAATAACGTAACTTCTGGTTTGCATGGGAAGTTTATATATAGTTAATCGGGGCTTCATGCTCCTAAGGTTTACATATCTGGTCACATCTTTAATCTATCTAACTCCGTTCTCGACATTAAGGAAAGACAGTCAGATGGACGGACGGACGACAGTGGGAATTTATAAGGTCTACAAATTTTTCAAATTGCAGCCAAATTATTAAAATAACTAAACGAGAATAAAGGCATTGCTCTATGATGAAATTCATGTAAATTATAGTCATGAAGATTGACTACGTATAACCACGTTTATTCTTAAATTAATATACAATGTAAGGATTGTTTACTTCGATTTGTATGGCTCAATTTCGCATTATCAAGATAAACGATTTAGTAGAATTATTTATATCGTACAAAATTACAAATGATAAAGTAAAATACTTTAAAATTACTTTCATTTAATAATAATTTAGAAAATTACATAAAATTATCCGCGAGGCAATAAAATATAAATTGGCATAACAATTATTATTTTAAACCGGAAAATTTTATAAAAATCTACTAGTAGACCTTAGTATTTGACATAAAAATGGTTTAAATTATCAAATATACTATTTAGGATAAATAATTAATTCTATATTATCGTATAGCATTCATTGTTTTTTGAATTTATCTAAAATATTATAACGAACTTCTATTCTTTATAAATTTTTATATATGTTAATAATTAAGTGTAGAGAACGTTATAAAGTTCATATCAGATTTAATAACGCTACATTTATCACCGGAATTTGCTAACATAATATTCTCATTTATAAAATTTAAGTGATATTAATTTTTATGTAAGTTAAATTATTTAAGTGCTGCAAATAAACACTTGTACAAAGACTCGTGTCATTTGTTTCGAAATTTATTATTGAAAGTTAATAAGTAAATAAAACAAAATTTAATATAATATATAAATATAAATTATTATAAACAATTAATATAATATTAAAAGAAATTTTAGTATAAAAATCAACAGATAAATTACTTACAATAGTTCCAATTTCGACGCAGGGATAATATAAGCGGATAAAAGAGCTCCTGTTCGAATATCCTGTCATTATATCGATACAACCAACAGTGTAAGGACCCTTTGGCAGGGGAGTATGCCGTTTTCCTCCATGCTTTAAGCTGGACATCTTTAAGCGATAATACAGTGTATAGAATATTTCCTCGATTGGAATATAGATAATATATATCAGTCTGACTGAAGGTCATTTAGTTAGCAACCGGTAACAACCAATGATACGCGGAGTAAGAGAGATAAATTAATATCAACGGGAAAGTTTATTCGTACGTAATTTTTATTTATATCTACGTAATTTATATCCACATGTTTTGAATAAAACTGTTTTTAATGTCTTATTTTATTTTAATAATTTTTAGTATTGATAGAATAAATTTGATTAATTAAAGAATTAGTTAAACTTTCTGAAATAATGAAAACGAGTTTCCGGAAAATAGAAGATTTGGAAAATAATTGAAGGGACTAATCATAAAAGAAGTAACATCACATTATCCACGGTATCAATTTACTTTTAATTAAAGTACTTTCGCTTTCGAGAAGAAAAACTTTATCAGTTAACATTTGGAACAAAAAAATAATAAACTGCGTTCTGAAGACAATTTAAATTTAAAAGAAATAAATGAGATGTAAAATTAGCAGCGATTGTTTTCTTTTTTTATTATTATTACCTAGTACAATAGAGTTCCGGAAACTCTACTCACGATATTCCGTAAAACTTGTCGTGTTTTTAAAAAATACACACAATGTACAGCAATTTTTATCGCTAACGCTATCGCTATCAATGTAACTGAACACTAAGGTTAAATAAGTTATCGTTTCCACTGGCAACACTTGATACTAATATCAATTCAACGTACTAACAAAGAATATAACCCTCTTTCCAAGATGCCACTGCAAAATGCAGGACGCGAATGTAGTTACCGAATAATCAATACTTTTTATATTAAAACTTAACTACAAATAAAAATAGTCTCTATTGGCACGTATATTTCGTATTAAATAAAAATATTGGCACGTATACAAATAAAAATAGTCTCTATTGGCACGTATATTTCGTATTAAATAAAAATATTGGCACGTATACAAATAAAAATAGTCTCTATTGGCACGTATATTTCGTATTAAATAAAAATATTGGCACGTATACAAATAAAAATAGTCTCTATTGGCACGATAATTTCGTAGTATATTATATGTGTAAATTCAGATATTTACACATATAATATACTACGAAATAATCATAAATGACGGATTTTTCGTATTTCCGCTATGCCGTAAAACTCGTCATTTTCGATAACTCGTCACCATCTCAATCCACATTAAGTCGAGTTTGTCGACTCTACGTATCAAATTGAAAATTACGTTTTTCTTTTATCTCAATATTCTTTAAAGAAATTTATTATTAATTAATTAAAATTATGTAAAACTTGCCTTTTAAGACTAATTCATGCAATGTTTCTATATTATAACTTTCATCCAAATAGAATTGTCATTTCTTGTCAGAGGGAAGTATAGCTCTCTCCAAACTTTTGTACGATGAAAAAGAAAGAATGCTAAGTTTCAAATGTCCATTTATTTTTTAAAATTTAAATTGTTTATTTTCTGAACGCAATTGCTCGATTTCATTGTTTATTCCGAACGTAAAAACATATGAAGTTTTTCTTGTTGAAAACAAAAGTACTTAATTAAAAATAAATTTGCATCATGGATAATGTGATGTTAGTCTACTTCCTTTTTGATTAGTTATTTTCCAGGAGTTAAAGTAAGAAAGTTATGAGTTAATATATTAAAATTATATTAAAATTTTATATATATATCTATAGCCTATATATATATATATATATTTTAAATTCGAATAAAAACCAAAATTCTTATTGAAAAACGAAAACAATTTTATGTATAGTTCATTACGAATTTTGCTTCAAAACTTTTTTTCCAATTATGTTGGCATGAAAAGTATCGCGTAAAAGAATTTTTATTGTTCCTCGTAGTGGGTTCTGACAATTCAAAATGTCTCGAATATTAAATTTAGTAAAACATAAATTCGAATTACTTCTTTTTAATAAACAGTGAATAAATTGCGTATTTAATCAATCTATTATTATTTTAATTAGAAACAAAACAGAAACGCAACTACTAGTACAGCCACTACGCATGATTCTAGATTGGTAGATACATAGAAATATTTCAAGGAAAGCGATTAGTATAAAATATTAACTGTAATTGTACGTCTCAATATTTTCTAACTTCTAATGTTTATATTCTCGTGTGCGCGAACAAAGAGAAAAATCAAAAACAGTCACGCCACCTTGCGATAGAAATTAGAGAGAGAAGCTAAGCCATCAATCTAGAATCTCGTTACCCGACCATTAGCGAACCGAGAGAGAAGAAAATCACAGCCATTAGGACTCATGAAGTTTTTAACTCGGACTGCGGTCATTAGAAGACTTCATGTCACACGACCGCAAACTACGTTAACAGCAAAAGGTAATTCGGTTTGGTTGTCTTCCCTCTAACCAGAATGACGCTATTCTCTCTTGATTGAAAATGCTCGAAAACAAAAAAAAAATTCGATTCTCCAAACATTGTTTTCTTTGTAATATTGAAATTAAATAATCGATCCAATAAAACGGATCGTTCGAAAAATTACTATGAAAACTGATTCGACTTTTATATGATACCCGGTACCCAAAAATCACTCATTTCGCATCTAAAACTTAAATTTAATATTTAAATTATTTATATTAAAACTAGGTAATATTTTCCATTCGGTTTTAAGTTTCGAATACTCTTCGTATAATGAATATTTTTATAAATAAAGTATAAATTCAATGATGATAAAATTCTATAAATATGTTCATCAATCTGTTAACAAAAATAACAATAATTACAGTTGCAGAAAAGTTGTAATTTTAATTATAAAAATTTTATTTTTAAATAATTTAAATTTTTAAACACTTTAATTTAATTTTGATATCCAAAAATACGTATTACTTTATAACTTCATCCCGGATGTGTAAATTAAACAGATGAATTACTCATTAAAAATTTTAATTAACGATATTTGTTAAATATGATATAAACATAAATAAATATTAAAATTCTATCAATCACCTTAGGCTGGCATAGAGGTCAATGTCCATTGAACTTACCTGAGGACGAATAGTCCCTTTGACTACATCCAAACAATCGCTGGTTACAGATGGTCGGAAAGCCAGTGGGGTTTTTTTGATGGCCAAAGAGATTGGAAGAACAATTGTTCCCTGTCCGAGATATATTGGAAAAGAGTCAGACTGGCTATCCGACGCTATAAGCCTAGTAGGAAATAAAAAAAAAAAAAAAAAAAAAAAAAAAAAAAAAAAAAAAAAAAAAAAAAAAAAAAAAAAAAAAAAAAAAAAAAAAAAAAAAAAAAAAAAAAAAAAAAAAAAAAAAAAAAAAAAAAAAAAAAAAAAAAAAAAAAAAAAAAAAAAAAAAAAAAAAAAAAAAAAAAAAAAAAAAAAAAAAAAAAAAAAAAAAAAAAAAAAAAAAAAAAAAAAAAAAAAAAAAAAAAAAAAAAAAAAAAAAAAAAAAAAAAAAAAAAAAAAAAAAAAAAAAAAAAAAAAAAAAAAAAAAAAAAAAAAAAAAAAAAAAAAAAAAAAAAAAAAAAAAAAAAAAAAAAAAAAAAAAAAAAAAAAAAAAAAAAAAAAAAAAAAAAAAAAAAAAAAAAAAAAAAAAAAAAAAAAAAAAAAAAAAAAAAAAAAAAAAAAAAAAAAAAAAAAAAAAAAAAAAAAAAAAAAAAAAAAAAAAAAAAAAAAAAAAAAAAAAAAAAAAAAAAAAAAAAAANCACTGTATATATATATATATATATATATATTTTAATCAAGTAAAGTTATATGGATGAACAGATGAAGAACAATTACAAATTCTAATTATTCCATCAATTTTATACAAAATAGAAAAGCACAATTTACTGATCATCAAGCGAAAGTTCAAAGTTTTATTTTATTTTGAGATAAGAGAGCGAGAATCTTAATATTTGATAGAAAATAAACAATGATTTTTGTGGTGTTTTTGTTTCGGATAACTGAATAGTTATTAGTCTTTTATCTATTAAACACTACAGGACAGCTTTTTGTAGAAATTCTACAAAATGAATTTTGACACCACCAGTCCTCAATCATGAAATGCAGTAAAAAATTCTTTATTCAAACGTATTCAATTGTCTTGAATGATCTAAGAGAATTAGGGGCCGTCCATAAATTACGTAAGGGTGATTTTGGCCATTCTAGACCCCCATCCACCCCTGTGTAAGAAACTGTAATATTTTCTTTGATCCTTCCTTTTCTTCTCTATCTTACGTAATATTTAGGTATGATTTTAAAGAAAGATTTTAACAAAAAACATTTTTTTAATGAAACCTTAATAATATTAGATCCAAAATATATAATAATTAATTAATATGTACTATTATTTATAAAAGACTTTATGTGAACAAATTTAAAAATATAAAATTTAATGAATTCAAATGAACAATTTATTTTAAGAACTTTATTTTTTTTTTTAATTATTAACAATCTTTTCATTATCATCATCATTAATCAACGTCATAATATTCATTTTTCTATTAATTTTAATTTTCACAAAAGGATGCAAAAGAACTTTGACAGATCGACTAGATAGTAGGCCTACACGTGTAAACAAAAACACCATACCAAAAAAAAAAAAGACAAGAGAGAAGAGATAGACCACCAGTGGTGATATTCAGCGGGTTCGTAGAGGTTCGGCCGAACCCGTTGTTAGTTTAACATTTTCAAAGTTTTCCGAACCTTGTTAACACGCGTAACATTTCTCAGTGTTTTTGTTTCTTTTAAAAAAATATATTAAAATATACGTATTATACTCTGTAACACTACTAAACTAGAGCCTTATACCCCTTGGTGCGACCTCCCTCGACTGTTTCAATCTCGACTGACTCAAGAGAGTTCTTGAAACTAGATCCACTGACAGAGATTCCACAATCCCACGCGCGCGAGAAAATACAAGATGGCTGTGGAACACGTGTCGGGCTATCGTCAGCGAAATAAAAAAGATATTGTATTTCGAGAGACAATGACATCTGTCTATTATTAGATA